ACAAGAAGCTATTTTAAACAAGAAGCTACTAGAAACAAGTGCATTGCTACCAGGAACACGTGCCTTACTAGTAGTAACAATTTTTGCTATTAGAAACAAGAAAGCGTCAGAACTGTTTGTTACTAAAAGCAAACATTGTTGCTACTAGTAAGGCACTTGTTCCTAGTAGCGATGCACTTGTTTCTAGTAGCTTCTTGTTGGACCTTCGTTTGGACCCCGGAGGCCTTGGGTCGCCTTGGTCCGACACGCTGGGTGGTGCCTTGGATAGCACGTCTCCCGACATCTCCCGAACAAATAGAAGCATATTCGTCTGGAAAAGGGCATCGCTACTAGGAACAAAGGACGCTACTAGGGGCTCCTGGCCTTACTACTAGGAGCAAGAAGCTACTAGTAACAAGTGCATCGCTTCTAGTAACAAGTGCCTTACTAGTAGTAACAAGAAGCTATTTTAAACAAGAAGCTACTAGTAACAAGTGCATCGCTTCTAGTAACAAGTGCCTTACTACTAGGAGCAAGGACGCTACTAGGAGCGATCGGACGCTAGTAGCTCCTGGCGGAGCAACGGTCGACTTCTTGGGCCCCGTGCTGGATGGGGCCAGTTCACCAACAACGAAACGATGAACGTGTTAAACGGATTCTTTTGAGGGTTTATTTTGTCAGAAATTCACCTCAAGATCAGGAGCTGGAAATAGGAGTCGGATTTGTGGCTTTGCAGTTGTTAAACAGTGACTGGTTGAGTTTGGACCATTGGAGACCGGCTGAAAAGCAAGAAGATTACTTTCGCAAAGATTTGAGGATCCACAGGATCCACAGATATTCACAACGAGTCCTATAGAGGTCATGGTCTTCGGCGCGCTGCCGATGGAATTGGTCCAGTACGGGTTCCTGGCAGTGGAAGGCGCCCGCATGCTGCTAGCACACCACGTTTGGGAGACCTGCCCTGTAACGAAGTTTGGAATCGTGAGGTGCTTTGTTTGTCAGATGTTCCTCGGAAGACTCACCTGAGGGTTCATTGGGTAGTATGGTCCAAGAAACGCTGAATTCGTAGCAAGAGTAGCTTGGGCATGGAGAGTTGACAGTGAAGATAGTGGTGACAGTCTACATCAACAAATCTGATAGCACGCCGAGGTCCGTTTGACATACAACTGCTTCTCTGCGATTAGTTCCTACCAACAATGAATGAATGATCCAAACAGTTTACCCTCCGCTGTATATGCTTTTTCCTTCTGTCCCGGCCTTTGGTAGTTTGTGATGTTATAGAAGCATAGAAGCACTCGAATGTGCTATGGTATCTTCCAATTAAAGAGTTTCCGACGGAACCAACAAAAGAACCTGTGGCACTGGTTGAGGCGATTACACACTTGAGTTTTGCACTAAACTTGCTGAAACCTTCCCAGCTATAGCTGCGTTCAATGTTTTATCCATTTGTCCTACTTTGTCTTGTCCATGCGCCTAAGCCTCGCTCAGGCTAAAGATCATCCGGAACTTCAAAGGGCGGTCTGAGGCCCTTGATGTTGGTGACTGTCACAGACCGGGGAGCGAAATACATGAAATGAAAACAATCAATCAAAGTATATTTAAAACCAAAAAACACTCTTAAACACTTCAATCTTTTTTAGAACTTCTGTTCAAGATCCGTCAACCATGAAAGCTGTTTGGTGAGGCGCGGCTCCAACGTATCCTGGAAGCGTCTCCCGAGCGTGTGGAACCGAGGCGGAAGGGGAGCGAACTGATGGGGTGTCTCACATTTTTATTTCGAGAGGTTATTTTTCAGTAGAACAAGCCACGCTCCTTCCCAAACTCAACACCACCAGTTGCATCAGGCCGTGGCATGTCAAATAGCCGGCATTGGTTGGGGTGACTCTATCTCATGATTGAAATGTGAAATGGGGTGGTAGAGCCGATGACAGCTTTGTTCATATGTTCCAACATCCCAGGCGCCCAGTTTCACTGAACAGCCTTCAGGGTGGTGCTGGATGCTGAGCTTAAGTAAGTATCGTTGGACATGCGATTCATGGGGGATTTGGCGACTCTATCTTTGACTATTCATGCAAAGGCAACGAGGTGGGCACTTTCGAAGCTATGCAAACCATGTGCAAGCCACAACTATGCCGCGCATCCGGCCTTGCCGTGCGCATGAGCTGCCTTGCCTCGCACCCCGCGAGGTGTTCGATTTTTGCTCAATGCAGTGGGTGTCAATACCAGCACCGGTGCTCAGTTGAGATGGCCATCTCGCCACCGGGTTCCAGCAGTGGAATTATGACCCTTATCCTGCAGATGTCTTGACATCAAGTTCCCAATCCACCAATAAAGACAACATGATTCCCACTCCTTTGGCATAATACTGTTTGTTTGCATCCAAAAGGCAAGAAGAAGCAAGAGACCTGATAGTCAGTCTGAATGTGTATGGCAAGGGCCAGCAAGACCCGAAATAAAAGGACTGGATAACCCACATGTCAAGCTTGTAAGAGCTAGCAACGAGAAGTAGAGACTGAGAAGAAAAGAGGACGGAAAGATACTGGACAATAAAAGTGAATGAAAGAGACACCGATGTGAAAGAATAAGCAGGGATTGATTGAGAGAATGATTGAGGGAGTGAGAGAGACAGAGTGTGTGGGTGTAGCTTCTTTTGTAGGTCAGCTTTATGTGAACTTCTTCAGAAGACGTGCAGCACACAAGTTCTTGTTGAACAGAGGCAGCGCAAGTGCAAGCTGCATCCCGTGCAGTTCAGAGTACCTGGCGCAGGTGATGCATGATCTAAAACAATATGAAAGGATGAGTCCATGTGACTGTAAGTAGCACAGTGATAGACTGTTATTTGTATCTATGCCGTGCTGCGTGGTTGCCATCGCATGCATCGTAGCATGTAGCCTGATGACAACACAAACTAGAACGCAGTAGACGTTTTGGTGTCATGCTCGCAAACAAAGAACATGGATGTTTGCACTGCAGTCTGGGTTGACCATCTATGTGGACATGAGTGGAAACGATGCACCTTCCCAGGCGAGTAGGAGAAGCCCTAGCCTCGTGACAACGCGCCAAAACTGAAAACACTTGGTCAGTAAACGTGGCTTCGGTTCGATCAGGCGCTATCAACAACACGTCTGCATCATCACTGACTCACTAACACACTGACCCACTTCCGATATCGACAGCTCACACTCAATCGCCGAAAGCTGCAAAAACTCTCGCGGACAGACGGTCACACATCATGAAAGAAACTTCCGAAAGTGGTGTAAGATGAGTGGTGGAAGATGAGCGGTGTAAGAGGGACGGAGAACGTGGCGGGACGGGACGGAGCGGCAGGTGCAGAGCGAAAAACAAGAACCCCACACAGTGATGTGGGGAACAAACAATCATCGAACGTCACAACAAACGCCACTACTTTGGCCACAGCTGCCCCACCGAAGCAGTTCCTATGCAAAGCAACATCTTGCTTTTAGCCGCATGAAAGCTAAGGCCGCTGAGAACCCGTCTTCTGGGTCCTTACCCTCATGTTTTGCTCCACCATGAACTCACCAATTCATCAACTTTCTGGTTTCTTGCTGAGGCACTTGAGCTATGAAGCGCAGCTCTTTTGGAAACGTGAGCACGTCCAGCAGGCCCAGTGTCAATTGGTCGTTCACCGGGGAGTTGACTGGAGGCTAACACCAACCAAATTAATCAAAAACCCTGCATCAGATCACAAACATAGGTTTAAGGTTGTTGCCCAGATATGATATGCCATCGCCCATGGCGGACCCATGGCGGCATCTCAAGCACAGGTGACTTCACTCACATAGAAACAAGACAAAGGAAAAGGACGAAAGGTCTAATCTCTACCGCCCAAATCTCCCGCCTCGCAGAATAGAAATGGGTTCCAAGCTAATAGCGATGGCCTTCAAGCTACCACCCCGCGCAGCCCCTTGCGGCTCAAATACAGTGCCCATTATGTGGCCGCTTATTCCGAACCGGTCGAAGCGCACACGGCGCGCTGCCGTGGTTTTTGCCGCGATGCTGCTGTTGTGGAGTTCATTGTGCTTCATTAATGTGTCGCCCAGCCCCTTGGGCCTGCAGAGGTTGATGCCCTTTGCTCCTAGTAGCTTGTTACTAGTAGTAGGGCCAGGAGCCCCTAGTAGCGTCCTTGCTCCTAGTATGAAGTGGACAAGTTCGATCTTAGATTGTGGGTTTGACCAAAAACAAGGATGATGGATGCTTGTTAGCAAAAATTTTGTTTCTCGAGCCACGTGGGGTTTCTCTTGTGTTTTTGTTCACTCTTTTTCTATGTCAAAGGCCACGGCCCAACCAATGACGCATTTTTAGCAGGGAAGGAATTGATGGTGGCTCAGCAGGGCCCACATAAAATCCATGTTTCACATCCAAAGCTGAATCCATCCCAGATCCAAGTGGCCGAGCGTCGGATTTAACCATATTCTTGGATCTCAGTGGGTCGGTCATCCACAACAATGTTCATGACCAGACCCGAGTTTTCGTTACCGTTGCAGTTTCCGTCTCGAACGTCAGGAAAGATTGCCTGACGTAAACCAAAAGTATCGTTTTCTCAAGTAACAGGGGACTTTCAGATTTCTAGAGACAATTGCTCCATTTTCTCGCGATGACCGATTGCATTCCCAATGCAACTCTCCCGGGAAATGTCGAGTTAAGAGAGTACGCCTCACATTGGTACAATGTGAGTACTTCAACGAGGTGTGGCAGGAACAGTTCGTCTTCCCAACGAGGCGTGCAACCGCGGGTGTGAAGGGTGTGAAGCGAGTGGGGAGGCCCTTAGGAGCAAGAAGCTACTAGGGGCTCCTGGCCTTACTAGTAGTAACAATGTTTGCTATTAGAAACAAGTGCCTCGCTACTAGGAGCAAGAAGCTACTAGGAGGTGGAGGTTCGGGACCTTTTGAGAATTGCTCCATGTCTAGAAGGATGAACCGATCAGGTAATTAGCATTGAGAAACTTTGCTTCTTTTTGTTCATTGTTTTTGTTCCTTTTGGTGTTTGCATTTTTCTCTTCAACCAATGCCAAAGACCCCAACAAGGCAAGAAACACAGTGACACAAGCGCCCGCTCGGGCCACTCCAGTGAAACTTGTGGGTGATGCAAGAGGTTTTCTTGCCAAGAAGAAGTCTGATCTTTTTTCACCAAACAGTTTACTTAGCTTTGCCACGAAATGTCAGCTTGTTTGGAACTTTCGTAAATATTCTGGCCTTGATATCGGCTTGAGTGTTGGAGGTAAGAACAAATCCAGATCGGCGTATTGTGTTAGGAATGTTAAAGGTAATGAATTGGCCAAGCCTGCCCCTATCTTCGCTCAGATTCGTCTGATGACTAACTGAGAGGAACCTGGGATCGTCCGTGTTCTCGGCCGAGCACGAGGTGTGTTCTTGAGCACGCTGCAGTTTCCGCCTTCCAGGCTTTTTATGCAAAGCTTCCCGCTAAGGGACCACTTCGTAGTACTTTCCCGGATTAATTGGCCGCTTTTTGTTGATGCACACCCTCTTAGAGGCTGTTTCCGCATTTAGGTTCGTGCATGCCCTGCCTTTTCGCTCGCTCATTTCGTTCGTGGTTTGCCGGTTAATTAATGTCTCACTGTGGTCAGGCATTAGTCCAGGCCTGCGATCGTGCAGCTTGAAGAGGAAAAGAACAGTTTAGTGTTAGGGGTTCTCAATTCTTTCTTCAGATGTGTCCACCCTTTCTGTCATTGCTGGTGTCCGCCCTTGTAAGCTGGCCATGCAGCATTTCTATTCATGTGTCTCGCATATGATTCTTTGCTTTTGTCTCCCAGGTTTGGTGCCTGCACTGCTGGTGTCCACCCTTTTCCGCTGGCCATGCCCAGGTGATTTCTTTACTTTTGTGTCTCTGATTTCTTTACGTTTGTCTCCCAGGTTCGGTGCCTGCACTGCTGGTGTGCGCCCTTTTCCGCTGGCAATGCGGCATTTCTATTCATTTGTGTGACTTGTTTACTTTTGTTTCCCAGGTTCGGTGCCTGCACTGCTGGCGTCCGCTCGTTTCCACTGGAGCAGCATTTCTATTCTTTTGTCTGCTAGGTGACTTCTTTACTTTTTCCCCACAGCGGATGCTGTTAGGGGTTCTCAATGCTTTGAAAGAGTGTCCGCCTTGCTGTTTCCTTTTGTCTCCCTTCTTGTTTCCCTTCTTGTTGGTCGTTGTGTCCGTCTTGTCTCCGTTCTGTTTCCTTTCTCCTTTCTTGTCTCCCTTCTTGTTGGTCAATGTGTTTGTCTTGTCTCCCTTCTGTTTCCTTTTGTCTCCCTTCTTGTCTCCCTTCTTGTTGGTCATTGTGTCCGTCTTGTCTCCCTTTTGTTTCGTTTTGTCTCCCTTCTTGTTGGTCATTGTGTCCGTCTTGTCTCCCTTCTGTTTTCTTTTGTCTTCCTTCTTATTTCCCTTCTTGTTGATCATTGTTTCCGTGTTGTCTCCCTCTCTTTCCTTTTGTCTCCCTTTCTTGTTGGTCATTGTCCGCCTTCTCTTCCTTCTTACCTCCCATGTTTCAAAAATATGGACTTGAGAGTGCTTCTTTGTTGTCCCACCTGTTTGGGGTCTACGGTGGGGTAATTTTTTGAAGGAGGGGTAGGCCGTGTAGAGTGGTAGGAGGAGGTAGCTAGAGAGGAATAGCTAGTAGCTTAAGTAGCTAGCACTGACAGGACGCAGGATAGTTCGCGCTTCTTCAAGGAAACTCTCCCCGCCGCCCTTGGTTAACAGATTTTTTGGGAAACTTAAGGTTGGAGGCCATCGCTTTTAGTTAAGTTTAAGTTTCCCTAAAAGTCTTGAAACCAAATCATTAGTGCGAGCGCTTCTTTTAATCAACCCGATTTGTTTGATTTTCGTTCTCGGAGGCGTTGCAGCAAGGGGTGTGGAAAGCCATTGCCCTTTTCAACGCGGCATGCTGGGGATCCTCCTATGTCTCTTCACAGGTCGGAAGCCTGGCGTGAAAGTGCGTAGAAGCGCTGCCAAACAGGACTTGACTGGAAGGGACTTGAAGTGAACTTGTGAAGTTTTCTTCATGCCATAGAGGTCACATATCACTATCACCGATGTTGCTAGCTGGCCCTCGGGTGAACAAGCGAGGCTTCTCACAGGCTTATTGCCATTGGGAGTTTGTACCAATTCGCGATTTGAACGAATACATGTCTCAAGCAGTCTTTTGGAAGTGACTCTGACGAAAAGCAGCACTTGCAAGCAAAGAAAACCAACTAGTCCTCCAACATTCAGAAGGGATTACAATTTGAAACTACTTCCTACTAAACGGAAACCATCTCAAAAGACACAGGGAAGCAATTGAAGCAATCCTATCCGTCTCAAAGAATGAGAACACACCGAACAGACCTTTGGCTCCGATCTCTTCTTTCGCTACTACTCAGCGCTTTTCTTTGGCTTGACGCGACCAAAAAGATCTTTTCTTTTTTTCCCGCAAGCTTCATTTTTCTTCCTTTTTGCTTTTATTGTTTTTCTTCCTTTTAATTTGTCCTTCGTGAAACCTCTCTCTGTTGCGTGCCAGGCTGGGATTGATGCCCTAAACACTGCAGGCGTAGAGGATGCTGCCATGGTCTTCGGCGCTTGTCGTGTCTCGGTGGGCGGAGAAACGGAAGAGCTGGACAAGTGAGAAGCGAGCAAAGGCTGAAAAGGGATCCACAAAAGAACGACAGGCACGTTTGTGTAGGGAGCAAGGGGTGACCCCAAGGTTTGTTGAGCATTGTCCATCAGTGATTCCATTTGGAGCTATGATGCGCTATGGGTTGGGCCGCCATCATTTCGACCTACACCCAGTTTAAGGAAACTTCCATCAGGATATAAACATTCGGGTTGCGTCTTAGAACCTGTGTCCATGGCTCTATCACACCTTCCATCTCCAAAGGATTTCTCTTGGCCGCGCTGCCCATGCTACCCTGGATCTTGAAGTCCAGCTGTCCTGAAAGTGCCAGAGGCACATGCTGTGGAGTGTGAAATGTCCTGAGAGAGCCCATGAGGTTGCCAGCGCCCAAAGAGCATCGAACGACTTGGGTTAGTACTTGAGTTGGCGGCTTGTATGGCTTTTGCCTTGTTTTCTCGAGCATTTTTCCATGCTGGCGAATTGGATTGTATGGATTATGTTTGTCGAAACAAGAGCTTGACCTTTGAAGGGAACTTAAAAAAGTAGACAACTGACGAAGATCACTCATTGCTTGAGAACTGAGCCTTTGTTGACTCTTTGCCGTTCAAATTGCGTTTCACTAAGTTGGAGGCCATCGCTAGTAGAAACGAAAAAGGAAGAAAGGTCTGATATAGTAACAAGAAGCTACTAGAAACAAGTAGCAAGGTCTACTAGTAGCAAGGTGCCTTACTAGTAGTAACAAGAAGCTATTAGAAACAAGAAGCTACTAGGAGCAAGTGCCTTACTAGTAGCAACAAGAAGCTATTAGAAACAAGAAGCTACTAGGAACAAGTGCATCCCACCGTGCCTTCTAGGAACAAGTGCTACTATTAGAAACACCGAGTCGTCCGTCACCGTCCGCTGCGCCGCTTCGCGGTAGGCAGCGCGCTGGTGGGGACCCTGAGCGCGATTGCCTACGCGGCGGTCTTCGCGTCGCTGGCGCATGGGACCTCCGGAGCTAAAGCGGCCTTCATCATGGCCCTGCAGCTTCTTGTTTCTAATAGCAAACACTACTACTAGTAAGGCACTTGTTACTAGAAGTGATGCACTTGTTCCTAGTAGCTTCTTGTTTCCGAGAATAGGATAGAATAGGATTTGAAAGATGGATTTGATTGGCAATGTGTGCGCAAATTACGTGTTGACATGAAGTTGAAAGGTCAATTTATATACCTCATTGAATTTATTTTGGTAGCTACAGACAACCACGACCCACCTTGGCAACAATTCCTTTTCGCAAGTTCTTCCTCTGAAAGGACCAATCCCAGCTGAGCGGCCTTTTGTCGGTGCCGTTGTAAACTGTGCGTGAACTTATTTCTGCAACTAGGATCTGCCTAGTACCGTTTTCTCCAACTCGAATTCTAACTCATTTAGTTCTACAGATCCGCTGGTGGGTCGGTTATGACATTATTATTGCATATTGTTAGCCTGGTAGCGTCCTTGCTCTTAGTAGCGATGCCAGCCCTAGTAGCGTCCGATCGCTCCTAGCGTCCTTGACTGAGGACCATTATTGTGGCCTTTTGCAGTTCCATTTGCGCAAAACGTCTTCAGCTTGGCAGCGTGGCATCGGTGCCCCGGAGCCTGTCGGGTCAGGGCCGATCAGGGCCTTTTCTTTTTTCCTTTCTAGCGATGCCCTTGCTCCTAGTAGCGTCCTACCTATTTAAAAGCGGACACTTATTTCGTAAAGTCATGCCGGAAACCCCTAAATACGGTTTATTTTTGTTTATAAATTACCGCCCTTTGAAACTGCTAATAAACTACCAACATGGTCGATTCTTTTTTAAACAGTATAATTTAGGCTCCAAAAACAACCGTAACTGACCACCTCTGTCCACCCTGTCTATCCACCATGACACGACGTGTTTACACTAGCAGGTTTTCCTTCCCCCAATGACACGGACTCACCTTTCAAAAGCTTTAGTGAATAACCGATTTTAAGTAAAATTTTCCTGGGTGACTTTTTGGTTAATCAATGATTCAAGGATCCTCTCACTGACCCGATTTTGGACAACCCCGATTTCAGGGACCTCTTATTAAAAAAATTGCACCCGAATTTTTGTTAATACTGGTAGGGGGAGGCCGGGTCTTTTAATAGGTGGAAGGCATTAAAGGCGGCGGGAGGAGCTTCCTTGAAGAAGCGTGAGCTATCCTGCGTCCTAGGTAGTAGCTGACTAGCAGCTAGTAGCTACCTCTCCCTTACTCAATAAAGTAGGGAGGGGGGGAGTGGGCCAAAAACGACAGAACTTGGGGGTTTCGTTGGCGTGAGGCCATGCTCGCGATCTGCGGTGTGGGCTTCCTGGAGCTTGGTGGCGGACCTGCCGAGGCCGCTGGTGACACAACCGCTGACCTCTCGGGCGACATGCTCTGTGCCCCGACGGAAGGGTTGGAGAAATGGGGTGTTTTTGAAGGAGATATGGCGGGGCTGCAGATTTGCGTGGATGTGTGTGGATAGGGAAAAGCTATGGTGTAAAGATGTTCCTCACATGAGGAGAAACTGCAAGGTATGGCGGCGCCACTGCTGATGGGGCTCAGTTGGCATCTACTGGGGGAGCACATGAGGAGTTTCCCACAGGCCCAAGCGAGCGAGCGTCAAGACGTGAGGGTGACCTGAATCACGGAAGTCTCGGTTCAAAGGATTTGGTGCAGTTTCATTTTTTGAATTCATTCCAGTTGGCGGTGAGTACTTTGTCCCTACAAGTGTTCCTCTAGTGATCAGGTGAAGGGAACAGGCTTGATTTGGGTTAGAGTTGCGAAGGGTTCGCTGTTCATCGAGTCTTGCTTCAGCACACGCCTGTACCCATTCACACAGGACTCTTGTTTTGAATGCCTGGCTTCCTGCTAATGGTGGTCATGTCTATCATGTTTACCAGCAGCTTTTTTACATTTGTTGCAATCTTTAGGCCTGCCAAACATCCACTAGAAGCAACCAACCAACCAAACATTGCTCTGAATTGCAATTGAACTCCTACACTCCTACACTGCCTGTAAACTGCCGACGCTCACATACACTCACTTGAGCCTTCTTCCGAATGGCAAAGGAAGCCTTGTCCTAGCCTCTTTTGGCCAGGACGCTACCCCAGCCGTGGCCATTCAGCTGGTAGCTCGGTCCGGTTGTGGCAGATTCCGCAACAATTTGCAGCGATTACTTTCACTAGGTTGGAGGCCATCGCATTTATAGCTTTTCTTTCTATATTTATATTTCATTGCAGACAAACTTGCTTGCTGAATTGATCTTGGCCAAAAGGGACAGAAGGATTCTGCTTCTTTTGCTCTCTTTTTTGCTTTCTTTTTAAGTTGGAGGCCGAATCCTTCTGTCTTTTCAGTTCTTTCTTGGCCGCACGTGTCTTTTCAGTCGGCCGTCTCCAAGGCGTGCTTCGCACTGTTGTTTGCCGCGTGGAGCTGTGGCGAACACCTGATGTCCCACGGTGCCGAGGGCCTCGCACTCTGGATCCAGGACGTCCCGACGCTCTCGCTGAAAGCGCCACAAACGGCCTCCAGTTTGCTTCGTAGCGATGAGGAACATGCATGGAGGGCCTGAGTTTGCTTCGTTTGGTTCCTGCATGGATGAACCTGAGTCTGTTGATGTCGACAGACCGTGTTTTGAACTTTCGGTTTCTTGTCCTTTTGATCCCTCACCACATCGGACCCAGCAAGTCCTTCAGTCGGAGCAAGATCTTTTTGGGGGGACGGGGAGCTGGCATTGAACCCCAGCAGCCAGCTTCTAATGAAAGAGTTGGTCTCAAAAGGTACATGGAGAGAAGTAGTTCTTTTTGCGCTCCAAGGAAGTTGCTTGAAGTGCCAAATCTTTTGCCTGCCCTGGTCTTTTCGGCCTTCATGGGAAACACAGAGACTTGGTGGCGATTGACAGAACCCTGTGCTACAGTGGAGTGATTTCTTGGGGCTGCTTCAACAGGGCTCTGTGTGACCAAGATTCTTCGACCAAGGACTGCTGCAACTGGCCAAGTTGCAACTTTGCCCCTTTCAGTCAGGATTTGAATAAGACTTATTCAATCGTTGGTAACCCGCTGCAAGTCTTCGGCGCATCCACCACACCGCTGCGAACACCTGCGAGAATCTTGCCACTGTTTGTAGTTGTGCTTCCGCCAGGTGACCTTTCTGCTTTGCAACTGCGCCATGCGCAAGTTGAAGGCTGCTGAGGCCGAGTGCAACGATTTCCTTGTCTTTCACAAATAAGGAACAGATTAAATGGGATGTGGAATAAGAGACCTTGATAGACAAAGAGAAAAACAGACAAAAGCACCGTTCCTTTTTTGGTGTATACTCGCTGATTCGGTCAATCTCACAAGAAAACATTTCCCTCTTTCCTTCTTTAGTTTGCTAGCGTCTTTGTTTCTTTCTATTGAGCTTTTCTGTACTTTTGAAAACGACGGAAACTGCCGCCCTCGGCAACGCTTGTTTTTCTTTTCGTCAGGTGTCGCTGCTCTCGGCATCAGAGCCGCTCTGGGCAGCACTCTGCGCCGCGCTGCTGCTGCACCAGTCGCTGGCGCCGTCGGAGCTCCTGGGAGGCGAGACTTGAGACAAAAAAGCGATAGTAACAAGAAGCTACTAGTAACAAGTGCATCGCTACTAGTAACAAGTGCCTTACTACTAGTAACAAGAAGCTATTAGGTTGGAGGCCGTGGCTAGAAGGTTGGAGGCCATTGCTTCTTGACCCAATGACGCTTTGTCTCTGTCCGTGTGTGGCATGTGCCGCGCGGCTGGCATTTTTTTTTCAAAACGGTTCTCAATTCTTTCTTAAGATGCGTCCGCCCTTTCTGTCACTGCTGGTGTCTGCCCTTTTCCGCTGGCCATGCAGCATTTCTATTCATTTGTCTCCCTTGTGATTTGTTTACTTTTGTTTCCGTCTGGGCTGCTGTGTCCGCCTCTGCCTTGCAATCCTTTACACGTGCCTCCCAACTCTGGACTCTGGACTGCTCTGCCCTGCAATCCTTTACATTTGTCTCCCAGCTCTGGGCTGCATGTCGCTTGCAATCCTTTACATGCGTCTCCCTGCGTCTACATTTGTCTCCCAGCTCTGGACGTCGCAAACTCTAATTACAGAGTGTTCTGATTTAAACAAAACAATCTGTTTGGGGTCTACGGTGGTGTAATTATCAAGATCGTTCGAAGCACGGGTTCCCATGAAACTGGGTTGAACACAAATTCAAAGAACAACTTCGATACACATTGCATTCGACAAAGTTCTCATCCGGACTTCGCTCTGTTCCCCTCGCCTCACAAAGGTGCCTTGGTGGTGGCGGCCATCGTTGGGGCCGAGCTACCTGTGAAGAAAATGGTCGGTGTGGAGCTTTGGTGACCATGGTGAACACAAGGTGTGAACATGAGGAGTAAAACGGAAAAACAGGGGAAAACAAGGTTTAACATGAACAAGAAACTACTAGGGGCTCCTGGCATCGCTACTAGGAGCAAGGACGCTACTAGGGGCTCCTGGCCATACTACTAGGAACAAGAAGCTACTAGGGAAAGGTTCAATCTCGGCCTTTGGCTGGCAAGATCTTCCTTTCTGAGAGAAAATATTAGATTGCTCAGTCCAAGGTCTGAAGTTTAGTGGTTTGACAGTCCGCAGTTCAAAACAATTGCACATGTTCAGACTTGGAGGCGACATGACACCAGGAACTTGGACATTTTGCGACCCAAGGCTTTGGAGTGAAGATGAGAACATGCCAGATGCTAAAGCGACGCCGTGCGGCTGCTCTCTGAGAGGAATCGAAAAAAACATCCAAACATCGCCGCTGGAAGCGTAACGTTTGATGAAGCTCTGTCATTAAACAAACCTATTACTATTAGGTTGGAGGCCATCGCTATTAGAAACAAGGAACAAAAGAAAAAGAAGGAAGGTCATAAAACATCATAATAAGCATATATAAACATCCTATTGAAGGAAAGGGGTTGCAGTAGCAAGTAGGGTGGTTGGGAATCATGACTCGTCAAACTTAAGCTGGAGTCATTGCTAAATAAGGTTGAAGGAGGCAGTTGTGTAATTTGTGACTCATTTCGAGCAGGAGAGGAAGTCCTTTTGAAACCAATCTTCTTCAGGCTTTAGTTTTGGCCTCACACAATCCTAGCAAGTTCATCGATGTTGGAGGTTTATCGCAAACTCACGTTTGAGGTTTTGCTACACTTCTATTATGTCTTTGTGCATCATCTAGAAATTTCTAGAAATTGCCTCAGCGACTTCGCTGGCGGAGCGATAAGTGCTGTCCAGCGTGTCAAGTCAGCGCAAAAGAGCCTTTTGAACTTCAGCGTAAGAAGACGCTGCGAACGATCAACAATTGGTTCAATATCTTCAATTTGCAGGGTGCTTGGAGCTTGTCTTGCAGATGGCTGAATCATTCAAAAAGCAAGGCCATATACCGGGATCCGCTGTTTACTCTTGTCCTAGACTAGGAAACCATAGTTTTACAAGGTCCGTTAAAGTCCTGAATCACCCTGCAGGACGACTATTTGGGTCCACCCTGTAGTTCCCCAGACTAGTTCCAATTTGAACACGAAGTCTCAATTGGGTTCACTATGTGTGTCCTGAAGCATTTTTTGCAGTCGTTTCCAAGCACCTGCCGTTCCCCCACGATAGCACGTTTGGTGCAGGAAGACACGACTTTGGCCTGTCGTGGCCTGTCGTGTGCGCTAAGGAGCGCTAATCTCTGATTTCTGCTGGCGCTGTCGCAGAAACCTGCGCGCACCACTGGAAGTCCCAAATCGGTGTTCCACGGCATTAGATTGTGCAAGAGAAACCGACAATGATTGAAGGCCTTCCCTAAGCAAAAAACATTAACAGAAACAAGAAGAGACACTTTTCTGAATTCCTATCATTCGAACATGGAACCTGGTGACGGCTGAGGGTGTTGAACCTGACCCCCCAGCTGCCTGCTGAGACCTGAGCAAGATGGAGGGGAGGGGCGTAGAGAACCTCTGCTGCAAAGAATCTGTCATCGTTCCTAGTAGAAATGCCCTTTGTTCCTAGCGTCCTTGCTCCTAGTAGCGATGCCCTTTGCTCCGTTCGTAGCAGAAGATCGACCATATCGAAGATAGCTATTTGTTTCTAATAGCAAACATTGTTACTACTAGTAAGGCACTTGTTACTAGAAACGATGCACTTGTTCCTAGTAGCTTCTTGTTACTTGGTCGCAGATCAGTTGTGCACTGATTTGTTCTGGGAGCGAAGCTCTGCCACAAGGCACCTTGCATTCTTGATGGTCCCTAGTAGCGTCCGCTGCTCCTAGTAGTAAGGCCAGGAGCCCCTAGTAGCGTCCTTGTTCCTAGTTGCATGGAGAAATGACACAAGGCAGTTACAGGTGTCTTGCAAGAAGCGCTTGAAGCACTTGGTTTCTCATTCGACACAGACCCGCCATCTTCGCTCCATGTCTGAGCCGTTCTGCAAGGTCTGCAGCCTAGATACAGTGGAACTACACCAATCTGGTTCTAAAGTTTGTAGATTCTGGGGGGTTTCTCCCACCAACCACTGTGGCTGCCGGTCTCTCGACACCCGCTCAAAATGATGCGTCCCTAGGCTTCTATGGCTTGAAATAGCGAGAATCAACCCAATAGCGATGGCCTCCAACCTAATAGCTTCTTGTTACTAGTAGTAAGGCACTTGTTTCTAATAGCTTCTTGTTACTACTAGTAAGGCACTTGTTACTAGAAGCGATGCACTTGTTCCTAGTAGCTTATTGTTTCTAATATTGCTCCTCAGAGTTCAATTTCAGGTTCCAATGAGCTTGCAGACCTTCATAATCCTCTGTACAGCCTGACGTTCCTTTTGGAGCAGTTGAGACGAACCAGCCGAAACGCTGCCCAACGAAGACTTCATCGGTCATTGCAGCATCGGTTCGTGCTATCCTCCGGCTCTGTGGGCTTCTCGATACTCAGAACTTCCAAATCTGCAGACCCGTTTTCCTTCTTTTTTGGGAGTGCAACAAGCCTTCAGACTGTTGACGCAACAGACAACTCTTAGCAATATTCATCAAAAAGATTGCGTTTTAGTGAACGAAGAGGCTTATCCGTCCGCAAGCCTCTAGTGTTCTGAGAAGCCTTTACATGAGAAGTTGTTCGTGATTTTCAGGAACTGAGGAGACATCTCCGCCGCTTCAGGCCCAGCCATTTGTGAGCTGGAACATTTGTACAGATCAGGGGCCGTTGTTCTGACGCCGTCGTTCTGACGTGTTCTGCGATGTTTGAGGGTCCGAGCAACACGTCGGGTTGTCAGTGAAGCTGGACACAGCCGGACGCTCGAAGTGTGACTTTAGTCCTTTTGCTGAAACCACATTGCCACTTGTCGATGGATTTAGCGACAAAAAGAGCCTTGTGTACAAAGAGTTTAACAAACATCCATAAATTATTCAGATCGAGGTGAGAACGTGTGGTGAGTGGTTTGCGAATAACTTCATCCAGCGCCCAGCTTTGCCTCTGCGAATCCTTTCACACGTTTTCTCGGGTCGTCAGGGACCGACGCCCAAAAAGCGACGACACCCGTTCGCACTGTGTGGGTCACAAGAAGCTACGAACGGGGCTCCTGGCATCGCTACTAGGAGCATTCTTAGTAACAAGAAGCTACTAGTAGCTAGAAGATGCTAGAAGCTTTAGCCCTTTTTTGTGTAAATAGAAAGACACTGAAAGGCTATAAAGGCATTTTGGCAAGTGCAAGTCACAGCTGTAGGTCCGAAATATTCAACGATCTGGCTATCACCTTTTCCTTTTCTTTTTCCTGTTCATACCATGGATGTACTAAATTGTAGCTTTCTGGGGTGATCAACCAATGATAACCAATGACTATGTCTTTTGGTGTTTAGGTAGACCGCTACACCTGGAGATTCCCAGTCTACTTTCCAGGTGTTGAATTCCAAACACTTGGGAGTGCATTTCTCTTGGGTTGTGCCAAGGAGGAACTTCTGACTATTGATGACCAAGTCTTGTACTGCGTTACAGCCTGGGTCCCGCATGTTACGTCACACAATGTGCTCCGACCATCATGGGTGGTTCAGGCCTTCTCCCGCATTGCAAAGATCGATGTGACGGTGGAAGCCACGGTGCACGGGGTCCCAGGGAATTTGATGAAGGCGATGCCCTTTGCTCCTAGTAGCGCCCTTGTTCCTAGTAAGGCCAGGAGCCCCTAGTAGCGATGCCCTTTGCTCCGTTTGTAGCAAAGGAACCTTATAGCGATGGCCTCCCACCTCGGATGTTTGTCGAGACCCACAGGTTCGGTACTTGACTCGACTGTCACGGGACCTAGAGGAAGCCTCGCTGGTGAACAAGATGGCCTTCCGACCTATCCGATTCAGGGCCGAGAGTTGGTCAACGAATCCGTCCTGGCTGTGACTCTTAACGAATGGGTGTGCAGAGCAAGCAATCACGAAAGCAGGAAAACAGATGTTTCAATCTAGGAATCACATCATTAGTGAAGAAGAGTGAGCCATCCTGCGTCCATCTAGTAGCTTAAGCAACTAGGAGCGTTTTTCCTTACAAAGGGCGGGCAAAAAGAGGAACGAACACAACAACACAGGTCTTAAGGTCTAAAGAAAGAAGGGAAGAACAGTACTCCTTGGAACCTGGGGGTCGTATCAGTGGGGGGAGCTTTGAAGCGTGGTGGCATCGGCCTGGAAGTTCTTCTTGTGAATCTCTGAACCTGCAAACCGGGCGCTTCGTTTGGGCTTGAGCGATTTAAACAAACATGAGTTTTTCAGGATTTTAAGCCACCAGAACACCAAGATCAGGCAATGTCACAGAAGCTCTTTCTGCAGACACAGAGAATGAACACCATGGCGAGGCGAAACACTGTGAAGTGAGCCGACCTGCCGAAGTTGAGCCCCTAGTAGTGTCCGATCGCTCCTAGTAGCGATGCCAGGAGCCCCTAGTAGCTTCTTGTCCGTAATTCCTGGGAAACACGTTTCTATCCACTGCGAACAATTGCTGAGAACCCCCAAAAGCTCGCGAGTGGACTGGCAGCCATGATGAAGCCAGGGAAGATACAAGAGACAACCTCAAGCCAATCAACAAAAAGGGCTCCAAGCCGTCAGCAGCTCCCTTCCCGCCATGAAGCCATCGGTAGCGACCCTTCCAAGCCAGGCACACCTTTTTTGTGGCTTTCAGCGGGTTGAGGGCTTGCTATTAGTAGCGTCTTGTTACTACTAGTAAGGCCAGGAGCCCCTAGTAGCTTCTTGCTC